TAAAATGTATTCAGATTATATTATTTGCAGAAAGTAGCAGACATGTTTGAGCTCTGGATTAGTGTTGTGATAATACAGGAAATACAGTCAAGACACAGAGAGTAATGTGGGACTTTTGCTGCATTCAAGGAATATATTTTATTTAATTTTTTTTACAATATGTTTATGTCATCTATCCTCTAAATATTGTTAATTACTTATTTACTTTTTTTGCACAGTTTCATGTCTTTTAGGGTTTATTTTTCTCTTTCTGTTTCTTGCAGTTTTGATGAAGTCTTGGTATTTGCATAATACAGACTATAGTCCATATGTCTATGTATGTTAACATTGTGCAGTCAGGTTGTGTTTCGTATGTGTTTATAAACTTTTCTAAACAACATTTATGCTGAAATGAAAACCTTTTTATTTTTGACTAAATCCTTTTATTGTCCACAATAAAGAACACAAAGAATCATCTAAACACAAAGCAATTACAGAAACATATTTTTGTTATATTGGACTTTGTTGTGTTGGATTTGTTTTTTGTTGGTTAAAATAAGGCTGCATTTAACTTTATATTTTTGTTTCAATAAAAATTGCATCTACTGATGAAAAGAAATGTATCTTACCTTTAATTTTTATTTTAAGAGGATCACAAGCAGCTGTTGCTCTGAACGGCCAGTTCATAATTCTGAAGTAGTATGTGTTTGTATAAGTTGTGGTTAAGTTGGAAAACAGAGTGGTGCAGTTTTTCTCCTTCAGGTTTCCTGTAATCTTCATTGGATAGATGTTAACTGTCCCACTGCTGTTGGAGATCTCATTGTTTGGAAATTTATTAACATTGGAGTGATTTTTAATCCACACTCCAAAGACAGCTCTTCTGATGTCAAACTTTACTGGTCCAGCAGCACTAAAGCTACATGGGATTTGTAAACATGATCCACTCAGAGCTTCCATCTCTGTTGGTGCAGTGATGAAGAGGTCTGAATACTCAGGACAAGCAGTCGAAGGCTCTGGAAAAAACAAACAAACAGAGTATATCATTAAAATGTTGAAATCTCTCAATTTTTTTCTCCTGTCCTCTCAACATCTTCAATATAAAGTTAACTGAATGTAAATGACTGAAATGAGTCGACTCACTTGGAATAAAGAGGAGACTCAGTAACATGATGCCTGTCATGATGTTCACAGACTGGACTGTCACAAAACTCATCACCTGGAAAAATATGAAAAAATACATGAATCCAGTGATGAATAAGGAACATGTAAATTCTTTTAAAAAGTAATTTGTTATTAAAAATAGAAACACAATATCACAGTCTGATATAAACAAACAAAACTGCAAATGTGTTTTCTTACCAAATGATCAGACTGCTTCAGCAGAGAGACGACAAAATAAAAGTCAACGTGTGATTTCAGCAGAAGCAAAGTGAGTGAAACACTTCTCTGTTTGGATGTTGTAATGTCAAAGCAAACAGATGTCTGATGTTCCCATCATGCACTCCAGTTTTTCAGATGCTGTACTCCTCATCTGTCTGCCCTTAGATGTTCTGATTTTAACTGTGTTTGTGATTAATTTATAGTTTACCTGAGTTTATCAATATCTCATGTAGACACAGGATTAAAACCATAGATGCGTGAAGTAAATAACACTGATCACTGATCTCACAGTGCAATGTGCTGCTGGGTCTTTGCATCCATGTGTGTGTTACTTTGACATAAATCAATTTTAGATGCTTAAGAGAAAACAATCTTAAAGCAAACATCACACAAAAAGAAGTAATAAAGAGGCCAAATGAAGAAATTGTGTTGCAGAAAGCTGTGTGTCTACAGCTTTGTACACACACAGGTTGTAGAAACCTGTTGACCAATTTCCTCAGTGTAGAAAATATTTCTTCCTTTGCTTTGTGCTTCAGTCGAGACATTCAACCAAATGCAGATACTGGAATTTATTTAACTTTCATCATGTCTCGAGTGGCTCTTTCAGTGCCACAATTAGACACTAAACATGAGAAACTACACGCTAACAGTAAGTGCACAACACACAGACAGAAAGTATGAAGTTTAACGTCCATATGTTAACACTGAAAGGCTCAAAGGGCCCACTGGAACCCTAAGTTATTTTTCCTTAACCTTGTGTGTGTATTTTCTTCCTTCCCACTCCTCATAAGTGTTCTGGTACCCCAACATCTGACACAGACACTCATATTTTTGAGTTAGGTAGTCTTGTGTAGCATTGATTGTTTAAGCTGGGGACTGTTACTGGAGGCTTGCCCCGATTGGGAAGCTGCTGGCTAACACAAGCCAGGGCACTCTGATCATGAAGCATCCCCACCAGGATTATTTGTCTGTAACACTGTGGCTCCTCTGAAGTATCACACTTTAGGCCATTACTATTTTACTTTCCTATGTGCACCATGGTTTAATCATGAAAGCATTGTACATCCTCAGAGGGTAATTCTACAAGCACTAATAATAACATTAACCTCCTAAGACCCAAACTCTTCCGCAGCATGCATTTTTAATTTCTCTTTGATATTTGGGCATATTGGGACCCGATGAATGTAAAAACAAAGAATTACCTGATTTTTGGGGTTTTTTTTACCTGATTTTTGTTTCTAAGAAAAATGAGAGCAACATATGAGGATATTAGTTTAAAATTTCGATAGAACAGTCCTCGTAAGTGGATATCAGGCTCTTCAATGCAGCACTGAACTCAATACATAATATTTAGGAAGGCAACCCGCTACTGCAGACCAAATTTGGAAGTTGGCTTATGTTTGATAATCAAAGGAAATACTAATGAAAATCTTTCAGCTTTGAGATGAGATCATAGAAGATCGTTCATTCTAGTAAATGTCCCTGGTCATGTGTGTGGAGCAGCAACACGTGATATCTATCTCTCCTCTCTTCAACTGCTGTACAAGCACTTCTTTTTCTACAGCACAGACGAGTGTGCTGCTGGTTGTTTTGAGAACTGTTCATCGAAAGTGTTTGAGCACTGACTCAAGAAACAAGCTGCGAGGTTTGTTTTCTTTTTCTCTCATGTTTAGATTATTTTTCTAAATGCATGGCTAAAGACAAAGGGTTCAGCTGCTAAGCAGTCACATAGATGTGGTTAGTACCTGACAGTTAGATTTGATAGGCTAAACTGTTGCAGGAGGAATCTCGGTTGAGAGTGATACTGAGATTGAGCTTAATTTATTTCTTCTTCTGCTCATGATATTATTTTCTGACAAACTCAACCTGCTTTGTTTCACCATCATTTTTAACTTCATCTATATTAAAAGCAGCAAGCAAAACATACATTTCTGCCCTCATTACAAAGCACAGCTGTTTACTGAGTGAACACAAAATATCACTCAAAATATTTCCACTCAAAGGTTACTTGACAATTAGAACCAGAAGACAAATTGCTGTTTGACTATTTGGTGTTTCCTTAACACATTTAAACAAAAGACAAGAGACATTAATACATTTATTCAAAATTAAATTACATTTTAGCTGACACACTAATTTTCAGTTATGACCAATAATATTGGAAGAAATCCTCTGCTGTTAAATATTCCTTGAATGAAATCAAGAAATTATTATTTTAATTAGAATGTACTAAAAGTGTTCAAATGAAAAAAACCTTTCTGCAGTAAATAAAGTGCTATTTTAAGGCACATTGTCCTTACTGGATGTGTTATGGTGTGACTCTGCTCTTCTATCAGTTTTCTGTCTCTGGTTTGTTGGAGTGTTTTGATGAACCATCTGACAGAAATGAAAAAAAAAACTTCCTTTTTGACTTATTGTAGACAAGTTAATCTGTAGATTTGTCCTTTGTTCACAATTCAAAGACATGCTCACAAGCATTAAGACTACTAATGTCTTGAGTATATGAAGGACACCAAATAATATCTCATAATAATATGTTCACCTGTAATGCAACAAAGGTCAAAGAAGTTTGAGCCTAAAACTTCCTAAAACATAAACATTTAGACAAAACACTGTCTCCATTACCTTGCAAGGCATACTACCAAGAAAAGAGGTAAATGATGAAAAGATTGAACTCAGTAAAATAATTATTACTAACTTTACCTTTAACAGTCACATCAATCTCTACTGATGACCCTGATCATTAGTGGTCACACAATAATGTTACATTGAAGCTGTAAATCTCTCCTTCAGATACTTTCACAGCTCCATCTTCTTGAACCAGGTGAAGTTGCTGACACCAAATCAAATTTCAGCCATCATCTCTTACATATTAACATACTTTATAACATAATGTAGTCCATAATCACTTTGTATGATTGAGATCAGGACTCTGGGTGAGCTATTTATGTTGAGTGCAGTGATGCTGGAACAGGAAGACATGTTCTACTAGAAGGACGTCCTGAAGTAGACTCAGGAAACACAGATTCACATAATGAGAAAAGGCTTCTTACAGACAACTGTACAAGAGTTCAGTAGAGACACATATTACTTGTAGAAACACACAACAAAGAATCAGCTCTTCTGCGTCACTCTGTGATGATTCAACAGCACATGAATAAATATTAATAATTCGAATTTAAGTCATTTCCCCTTCCCATCAGCCTCAGGGTAACCTTCATTTCCTCTACTCCGTATTCCTCTCTGTCACATACTCTTGCTCACTGTCTGCTACACAGACACACGCTCTACAAAAAATGAAGTGGTTTAGTAATACATGAAGATGCTAATGAGAGTGTATCACTGTGGTATTTTAAAAATGCTTTTTCATCAGCCTGAAACACACTGGCTTCCTCAAAATGCTTTCCTTACTGCTTGACAGCCACTGGTAAAACATACAATTAATCTAAGGCTTAACATTAGTAGTGCTTTTACTTACCTTAGTCCCCTTCCAGTAAAATATGTTGGTGGTAGTCTGATGGTATCGGAACTCTGCCGTCTACTAAAAAATGCTGAATGACAATGTTCAGCCATTTGTTTGAGAGCTCAAGCTAAAGCGCACTTAGGTTCAGCAGCAGGAACATGATCCAAAACACATCAGTACGTCCACCTCCAAATGGCTTAAGTAAAACAAAATGCTGACTTCGGATCAGCCTAGTCAAAGTCTTAACCTGTACCTGAATCAGATGCTGTGGCATGACTTCAAAAACAGTTCATATTGAAAACCCTCCAATGTTGCTGAATTACAGCAATTCTCCAAAGATGTGTGGGCCAAAATTCCTCAACATAGGTGTAAAAAGCTCATTGCCAGTCATCGCAAATGCCTGATTGCAGTTGTTGCTGCTAAGAGTGCCCCGACCAGTTATTAAGTTTAGGGGGCAATCACCTATTCACACACAGCCATGTAGGTTTGGATTTTTTCCCCTTAATCATAAACATCTACATTTAGTATGGAAGAGGGTTAGGGTCCCTGAAAGAAAAAACAAGAAAAAGTGGGCATGTCTATTTTTTTCAGAATTCTGGAAAAAAAAAAAAGATCTGAAACATGTAAGTGTGACAAAAATACAAAAAAAACCCCAAACAGGAATTCAGGAAGTAACACGTTTTCACACCATAGAGAGTCTAACGGTGTCATCTTTGGTGACATCTGGTGGTCAAAATTATGAAGAGCAGCTTAATCCTAAAAACTTGAACTGGACTGCTTCATGATGATGACCTGCTCTGCAGAGCTGAGCTAAAGCGTTTGTTTAACATCACGTGACAGTTGTAATAGCAAGCTAAAACTTTGGTGCTTTGAACATTATGTCTATTTGAATAATAAAGAATTTCATTATAGGTTGGGAGCAAGCTTGTGGTGTGAGGTCCATGCCTCTATGTGCTCATGTAATTAACCAGTGGACCATTTATATAAAATATACAATAACTTATATGTATAGTTTATTTCTTATGTATATTTTTGACCTGGGGTTGCTTGTGAACTAGTTTTTATTTATTTGTCTATCCATGAAGCCAGGCATCTAACCAGACGCTCACTCTGGATTTCATGACCTTAGCCTCCAGTAATACAGCGAGGAATCTTGGAGGCGTTTTTGACCAGATGTGTTTTTATTCATCTTTTAATGCCTAAAAATGAATACTTAAAATACATTAAAAAAAATTAAAAATACTTTTAAAAAAATCCATTTAATACTGATTGGGAACATTTCCTGCAAAATGGAAACAAAATGGCATTGTTGGCTGGCTGCCACGAGATGGCGCCATCAACACTAAAGTTAGATGTTCAACGTGCCCATAGAGCTGAGAAATACTACAGTCAGAAAGTTGGAGTTGACCTGTCAGAGAAGGTGAAGACTGAGCTGAAGACACTGTAGGAGAGAGTTTAAAAGCCTCTTGACAGGAAGCCCATGATCACCAAGCTCACCAAGAATTATAAAATGTTAATAAATAAATCAAGAAACAAATTTATGAATGAATATGGAGATAAATTCTTCTTAAAAGGTTGATAAATGTATACAATATATTATAATACATAACCCATAAGCCTAAACTGAGATATACAAATGTTTGTGAGTAATTTTACAAATGCATGTTTGAAGCCACACACAAATTCAAATTGATTCAATCACACATAAAATTGTCTGTGAAGGTTCTCAGTCATCCAGGTCATCGTAGTCAAAGGAGCTTGCAAAGAAAAGCGTCTGGACTTCTTTAAGTTGCTTGAAGACGTTTCA